CGCTTCAACAGGATCAAAGGCTGCTGCAGAAGCAGAAGTCAAGGCTGATCTGGCTCGCGGTGACGGTGCTCCATGGTATGCGCCGAAACCCAAGTCGAATAACGCACTTTACTACGTCGTGATCTACCTCGCACCTGGCGATTACCACCGTTTCCATTCCCCCGTGCCCTGGGTGGTCGAGAGCCGCCGACACTTCGCGGGTGAACTGTATTCTGTCTCGCCATACCTGCAGCGTCACCTTCCCGGACTCTTCACTCTCAACGAGCGGGTTGTCCTCCTGGGACGTTGGCGCTGGGGTTTCTTCAGTTATACCCCCGTTGGTGCTACCAATGTGGGCTCTATCAAGGTGAACTTTGACTCCGAGCTGCGCACAAACAGCCTCACCACAGACACCGCCGCAGATATGGCGGCAGCTCTTGCTGCCAAGCGAGGCGAGCAGTATCCCGGTTTCGTTGAGGCAACCTACCTTCACGCCAGCAGGACTCTCAAAGGCCATCCTCTCCAGAGGGGGGAGGAGATGGGAGGATTTCAGCTAGGCAGTACGATTGTCCTGGTCTTTGAGGCACCAATGGGCACCCGTAAGTCGTTCGACGTGGGATATCAAGAAGGCAAACGCGAGGGCGGGTGGAACTGGACCATCGAGATGGGCCAACGCATCAAGGTCGGTGAGAAGCTAGGGTATGTGGACACCGAAAAGTGAAATACTGGGCTATACACCACTTGAGGTATCATACCCAGTCTAACCAGGAGTTATACATCTTATTAATGGGGCGACTTTCTTTCTGTAATTTTTGGTTGTTTCTGTATCATACCACTCTTCAAACATTTAGCTATATAGCATAGACAGCGCGATTTCAACAGGATGCGCACCCTACGAAAAAAAGCATTGAATTTAGAGACCATGCATGGGTCATGTACTTTTTTTTTTTTACTTTCGTCCTTTATACTATGAACTGGATGGCACGTGATAACGCGGAGCAGCGACGCGAAAGATGAAGCTTATCAAAGATTCCATTACACGAAATACAGCTACATTCCTCGATTAAACAAAGCAATGAGACCCCGAACATAAATTTCACCAACTACCTCCATACAACCCCAAGGATCCCACCGCACAATGCCTCGCCATCACCATCTCCTCCGCCGGCACCCCACTGCTCCAGAAGAATCCCCCTCCGAGTCCACTCAACCACGTCCAAGTAGATCACGACTGGGCCAACATGCAGCGGCACAATCTCAATTCCAGACACCACCGTCGCAAGGCATTCCCCAGCTCCATCCTTCATCGGGACCCATCCAGCCGGTCGAACCAGCCCATCCAGCCGCCGCCGCGCAGGCGGCTCTCTTCTCCCTATTTGGCCGAGGAGTCGCAGGACGTCCACGCCCGCAGATGATGGAAGACGACGGGGAAGAAGACGACAGTCAATTCGAAGACGAAGATGAGCACGACGACTTCAACTCGCAAGAGAACGCAGACCACGAAGCCCAGCTCTCCGAAGAAGACATGGACGGGATGGTCGAGGATGACCTCGAGGTTATAGACGAGGACGACGACGAGGTCATGCACGATCGAGGTAAAGCCCATACGACTCAAACCCCCCACTACCGGAATCCCCATCCCAAATCTACAGCAGAGCAACGCACTACAGCCATACACAATAAAAAAAATAACGAATAGCTAACACCTCCCACACAGCAAGATCACCATCCCCGCTCCCGAGCAACCTCCGCGAAATCTCCTCTCTCGCCTCATGGACTGTCTCGACCCACAAACCCGGCTGCGGCGTTTCAGCCCTGCGACACCCATCGCCGACACAGTACTGGCAATCCGACGGCCCCCAGCCACACACCCTCACCCTGCACTTCTTCAAGCTCGTCGCCGTGGTTAAAATCCGCGTGTACCTCGACTTTGACCTGGACGAGAGTTACACACCCACGAAGATGACGTTTCTAGCCGGTATGGGCGGGAACGATCTCGTCGAGTTTGCGACATGGGAAGACGAGACGCCGTGCGGGTGGGTTGACGTACCGTTAGAAGGCGTGGGCGGACGGGACGGCGGCTGGGTGCGGAAGAAGCGGCGGAATCGGGCGCGGAAAGGCGGGACGGGGAAGTCCTCTGCGTGGCCGGACTACATGTTTTCGGATACGGAGAACCCGGCGGAGTTCAACCTGGCGGCGTATGAAGACGATGATGAGGAGACGGCCGTCGAAGACGACGAGGATGATCCGTACGCGGGAAGTGTGCTGAAGGCGATGGTGATCCAGATGCGTGTGATGGAGAATCATCAGAATGGGAAAGATACCCATGTGCGCGGGTTCCAGGTCTTCGCGCGGGATGACGAGCGTCGGCGGATTGGCAATGCGCCGTCTGCTTCTGCTGATGGGCGGATTCGGCGGCATAGTATGCGGAAGTCGCTTCGTGGCGCGGCGGACGATGGGATGGATGGGCGTGGTAGTATTCATGGGGATGCGGACCCGGACAAGGCTGCTGCTTTAGAAGAGCCAGATTGGATGGGGGAGCCTGTCATTCGGTAGAGGATGAGAAGCGCATTGCTGCGGTGGACTTTTGCAGGCCCTGGTGTTTTGTGGGTGGTGGCCTCATATATAGGTATGAATCATGGGCATGAGGAGCATCAAGGCTAGGTTAGGATTCGGAGTTCCGGTTGTTTAGATACCCATCTATCGTTGTATCGGTTCCATGGTGCATTGGAGGACATTAATAAACTCAGCATTATACGTTATACGAATCATTTTTATGGAACATCGAGGGTCTGGGAATCAGAAGCGAATTAATTCAAATATTTGTCATCTATATAACTTATCCAGAAGGTCATATCTCATTGGGCATGTAGCCTACAGTTGTACTTTTCCCCATTCATTCCTCCATCTCCTATTATTTGGCCTCGTTTACTTCAAAAGCTTCTCCAATTCGGCAGCAACAGCATCACCAACCTCGGCGGTGGTGGCCTTACCGCCGATGTCGCCAGTGCGGACACCAGACTCGATAACGTTGCTGACAGCCTGCTCAATGGCGCGGGCTTCGGCAAACAGACCGAAAGAGTACTGCATCATCATAGCGACGGAGAGAATAGCGGCGACAGGGTTGACAATGCCCTTTCCAGCAATGTCAGGAGCAGAGCCTTTCTCCACGTCAGTATATACCCAAGGTATGAAAGCAATGCGGGGGCCTAAGACATACCGTGAATAGGCTCATAGATACCGTTAACCTTGCTCTTTCCATCAGGGATGCCGCTCAAGCTAGCACTGGGAAGCAAACCCAGAGATCCAGGAATAACGCTAGCCTCATCACTGATGATGTCACCGAACAGGTTGCTGGTAACAACGATACCGTTCAGCTGGCGGGGGTTCTTGACCATGATCATAGCGGCGGAGTCGATCAGTTGGTGCTCGATCTTCAACTGGGGGAACTCCTTGGCCATAACCTCAGTGACAACCTTACGCCACAAACGGCTAGTAGCCAGGACGTTGGCCTTGTCTAAACTCCACACAGGAAGAGGGGGGTCGTGCTGCAGGGCAAGGTGGGCGGCCAGACGGATGATGCGCTCGATCTCAGCGCGCGAGTATGGCTCCGTGTCCATTGCGTATCCGCTGCCGTCGTCTTCCTTGCGCTCACCGAAGTAGATACCGCCAGTCAGTTCACGGATGATGTTGAAGTTAACACCACGGCAGACGTCGGCGCGGAGGGGAGAACTCTCGACGAGGGAGGGTGCGGCGAAGTTGCAAGGGCGCAGGTTGCCAAAGGTGCCCATTTCTTTACGGAGCTTCAGGATACCTTGTTCGGGGCGGACGGCGCCAGTCCCCCATTTCTAATCTCACATTAGGTTATCTTGTTTGGGCCGTAGATGTATTGTTTGAAGTGTGCCATACCGGTCCACCGATGGCACCCAAGAGAACGGCATCGGCGTTCTTAGCTGCGTTCAAGGCTTCGTCGGTCAAGGGAGATCCTGTGGCATCAATTGATGCCTATGATATTCAGTAAGCCATATGCTAATACCAGAGGGTATCCTAGAGGACCAAAAGTGCGAACATACTCCACCCAGCAAGTGGTCCTGAAGGTTGAAAGTGACATCACGGTTCTTCTCAACGGTACGGAGGACCTAAACATCAACAAATTCCAGTGTTAGTATATGCTGGGCCATTTTTCTTCAAGTCCTCGAGAGGTCTAATTGTATAGTCGAAATGCTTACCTTAATGGCCTCTGCGGTGACCTATAAATGATGGTCAGTAAACGGACACTGAGAAGGAAGTGTACATGATATTCAGTGGCTCACCTCCGGACCGCAGTGGTCTCCGCCAAAGACAACGATATTGAAAGAAGACATGATGAAGCAGCTGCCTGAGTACAATGAACTATAACACGGACGGGAAACCAAGCTCAACGATAGAAAGCACCGAGAGTTATATGGCCATGAGGGGTGGATCTCGAGTCACCCCGCGCGCCGACACCGGAGCCGCAGTCGGACGTCCCCGTGATTAACCGCCGCCTCATGCAACTGCAACACTAGTAGGAACAAGCTAATTACTAAGGGCTGTGTCTTTGTTTTTAATTATTATTATTTCCTGATCACTGTTACCATTTATAGAAAGCAATTGTATGTCCACTAATACACAGTACCAGATTAAAATCTTTAAAACATGTCAGAGACAATCTGAGAGAAATGAAAACAGAGACAATGAAGTTTATAAAGAGGCAGAAAGAAATGAAAGATGAAAAGCGAAAGAAAAAAGGGGAGTGCAAATAGGTAGTCCGTAATAAAGACAACAGTCGAAGCAAGTATAAGTCATTCGAAAAGGGTCGGGCCCGCAATGGTCTGCACAGACCTATAAATCCATAAATTCCTCCCAACTGAAACATATCTTCCGCAAAAGGCATCATAGAAAGGGAACCAGGTGATAAAGGAGAAGAAGAGACAGAGAACCGGGGCAGCTTTGCTTAGCCCCAAAAAAATAACCAGGCACCAAAGCCATGCAAGAAGTGTAGTGATGTGAATCAGGCCCAGGCGGTAGCAACATCTCCAAGATTATGTGAGAAAGAGCCGTGATTTCACTGGCTGCCAGGCACCCGACAACTGCGCTGGAGGCCTAGTTTTTCTTAGCTCGCTGTGCCTTGCGGTTGGCAATGTCACCTTCAACCAGCCAGTTGCTAGCCTTGACAAGCTGTACCACGTTGATGATCTGCTTTAGAGCCATCACGGGTGCCGAGATTCCGGTGATAATCCAAGGCCAGGTGCTGTCAATCTTGTTGGCCCTGGCCATCTCGAGTGCGCCAGCGCTCCATGGGCTGGCGAACGAGTGAGTCGAGACCGGATGTGCAGCGTCGGACCCAGAGCCTGAAACGGGTTGGAGAAGGGATGGAGACAGAATAGGAGACGAGAACGAAAGAAGGTATAGGCCAATGAAGAAAAGCTCGTTCAGAGCACAGCAGATGAAGAGAACAGTCTGTAGACATGATCAGTTTTATGTGACTACTCATATGGCTCGGTGTAGCTCACTCTGCTGTTGTAGTATTGATACAAGATCCAGCTCCTGCTAGAATCGATCTTCTTGTGACTTTGGCCAGACCCGCCCATGCTGAGGGTAGCATACATGTGCATGTAATGGCTGGCCATATCCAAGGCAATCAGACTCTGAAAGACAATAGACCAGCGAGGCCACGCCGAGCTCAGAAACACCAGTAAACACGCAGTTGTGCAGCGGTCCGTCACCATATCCAGAACCGCGCCGAAGGTGGTGGACTGGTTGAAGTAGCGGGCTGCATATCCGTCTAAAGCATCCAGCAAGCAAGACACGCTATAAAGAAGGGAGCACGTTCGTGGATGCAGCGGCATGTAGTACAACGAAGCCATTGTCAAAACCACCCGTAAATATCCTAATCCCACGCCACCGGTAAGCGTCCGTTCGCAACATCGTGCAAGTTTGACGAGACGGGAAGAAGCTCCTTACCAATAAGGTTAGGGGCAAACAAATATACATTCTCCTTCACTTCCTTCTTGCCCGAAGTTCTGGTCTTCTTTGGTGAATTTTCCACTGTGCCATTGCCAGCCGGCGACTCATTGCTATCCGACTGAGCGGCCAAAGCCGCCTGTTGTCTTCTTGTGCGGGCAGCCATTGTTGATTCGCTGTACACTGTGACGAATTTGCCAACGGGGCGATCCCCAGCGATAAGTAGTCTTACACGGGTTTCGGAAGCACTGAAGCTAGAAAACCACGGTGGCGCGAAGGTTGAACGGAAGTGACAACCGGTGTCTATTAAGGAGGAAGCCGACGATACGCGGTGTTCGTGGGTTGGAAGTATACAACAATCTGTAAATGATACAGAGGAGCCATGCGTTAGTCAAAGCCATGCATGTTGTAAGCACCCCTGTAGGAAGAGAGGTACAATGGCGACATGGTTATGGAGAGGAGAACTCTGCAACACGTACCTAATCAACGCAAGTTTGACAACGCGTCTCGACGCCGAGCGGGGAACGGAATAGAGCCAGAGGATTTAGCGATTGAGGCGAATGCGGCAATGCGGAGGAAAGCTCGTGGGAGATATTGGCAGTCTATCAGATCGAGGTCGAAGTGTTAGTTGATCAGGAGATTTCCGGGGAAAGATTTCCAAATTGGCCATGTGTGTCGTTTTGGCGCGATAAGGTTGATAAGCCACCGACGATGGACGTAGTTCACTTGTGCGGTACTTACGCTCTGCAATGATGGATGGATAAACTATCTTATAGATGGATTGCGACCAGGTCTATGAACGGAGGATAGTCACCCTTCAATACTGAACAGGTAAAAAAAAAAGTTAGCTTGTCCACAGTTTTGCTCAGCGCTGGTATTAAGTAAGTTGGCGGTCGTAGTTAGTTAGTTAACCAGTAGTTAGTTAAGGGAGGGCTTTGCGAACGGGAGTCTCGGAATTGGTTCGTGGGTCAAAGCTTTCGGGTTCCAAAGGAAAAGGAGCAGCGTTCTCCCAATGCGGTCATCCCCCAGAGTAGCTAAGCATTCTGTGAACTATATTCTACTAAGAGCTGGCAGTGGCAACGTGGAAGATGTAATCTGTACTGTCTACCACCGGATATTTTGCCTGTTTGCTGAAGGCCGCCAAAGCATTAGAAACTGGAACAAACGAAAACTTGCCCGTTTGTGGCTCTAGGCTGAGCCTGAGTCAGGGAACACCTATTTAGAAAACCATTCTCTTTGTTACTCTTAGCCGGTGAGCTGCTTGTAATGACACAGTGAATCCATTCATAGAGTATAGCTCCATGGTTTTGTGTTGAGGCCCCACTTCGTGTCCCATACAACAGAATCTAGTCTTGTTTGTATTGCTTTGATTATTCCGATAATGTTGCTTACAAGTATTGATATAGGCATTGTCTTCTGTGTTATATTAAGATATTCTCTCTCTTGGTCTATGTTTATTCTTGTCCTGAGATCCTTAATTAGTTTATCTCATGGTTCCAGAACTAATCCAAGCCAAATACCCTCAGTCGCGATCTGTTTTCCATATAGCTGCTGCTGTGCTTTTGAGATCTGGCGGACTTCAGCTCAGATGGCCATCGAAAAACTCGATTATACTCCTGATTTGAGTAGCCTGCAAGGACTGACCTATGCAGATGTGATTCAACAGCTCCAGACCCGCATAAAAGCAACTCAGGAGAGGCTGGAAGAAGTTGAAGCGGCCCTCAACCGCTGCCGGGAATACAGTGCACAGGATATTGAGACGATCAGCAGACAGCGTGTCGAAATTATTGAGCTGCACCACTTGGTCCAGAAACAGAAGATCACAATCAGCAACCAGAGCAAAGCCATTGCAGACCCCAAGAGGAGTCGCATTCGGCAGTCCACTATCCCCATGCCAATATTTCCTCTCACTCCCACTCAACAGCGCCCTACCGTAAGGTCTCCACGTTCAAGCACTCCCTCATCAGCCAGCCCTTGCTTCCCAAGTGTCCTCACTCCCCTTCCTCCTGCGTTTGACATGTCTCCTGGCACTCTACAGGACAAACGTAAGAGTCTGGAAGAGAGCTCCAAGACGTCACTTAGCCGCAAGAGGAGTAGTTTTCCGATGAGTATTTGTTCTCCAGGCTCTTCATTCGATACTGAAACAGTCATTCGGGTGATCTCGACCAGACTTCAAAGCCTCTTGTCAAGAACACTGACGTTTGGCCACATGTATACCAACTTGCCTAGTGTTCAATTTGACAGCCACTTGAACCCGCGGGTTAAGGAATATGTCATGAGTATCTCGGATAAGATCCATGCGTCAACGTTGCTAGGAAATCCATGCACTCGGCTCTGCGTGGTTGCGAAAGGAATTAACTTCTACCTCGTTCACAATATCTTGCAGCCGACAGTCGTCAAAGGGTTCGACGCTCACATGGACAAGGAAATCAAACAGCTACAGGAACACTTAACCATAGGTATGTTGAGTAGCCATTAGCTCCTCTTTGCACAGACTGATCATATGATATAGATACCCCTGCGGTGGTCCGCCATTCGCTGCTCATCACGATCGCACACCACATCCAGGCTGTGGTAAAGAAGCCGAGGTTTTCCGAACTTAATCAACACAACATCCACACTTATATGGGAAAGTTGTGGCCGCTCATAGGTCCCCTTACTCATGACCCCTTGAGCCAATATCAGGTGGTCTGGATGGATCTTCAGGACATTGTAACCGAGGCCCAGGCACTCGCAGTGGATCTATATTCGTTACCCTTCGAATATAGCTTCAAGTTTCCTGCGGTGAACGACATTTTCGAGCCCAGTACAATGGTGAATTGTGATCAATTTATGGGTGGGGACGCTCAGAGACTGAAGAAGGACCACACTCTTGTTCGTCTGGGCGTCACCCCAACCATTAGGATCCATGATCATTCCACGAGCCCTGCTGACGTCAGGCTGGTAGGCCTCGCGAAGGTACTGTTACGTCCTCCCCCAAGACGCTATACTCAGCTTCTCAATGAGATGCATGCGAAGTGAGTGCCGGCTCAGTTGGGAACGTGAAGTGAACTCCCGTCTATTGCCGTCCGTGACTTTGCCATTTTTTGTTTTTTTGTTTTTTGTGTTTTATTTTCACCTTATCTTGTGCTGCATGGAAATGGGAGAAAACGGAGTATTACAGGGCTTGAAGATGGCAATGGCTTAGAATTGAACAAAGCAGTTTAGGCTTTCAGCGTTGTGATGATGTCAATAGTTGCAGTTCAGGATGGGGGGATTGGTTGTTGACCAGCGCGATGGCGTTATGGTGGAGTCCATGAGGGCATTTCAGGGATCCGGGAGGACGTTTTGGAAAGTATCAGAGGCAAAATCATAATAACATGCCACCCATTGCTGCTGATCCGACCCTTTATAGCTTCAGAGAGGTTGAGAAGTAAGACTTCTCCACAGGGGAAGTTCAGAGCATGGTCGATAAGGCAGATAAGAAGGATTGTATCTAGGAAACTAGGAAATTGCCGTTGCATTTCTCCGTCGCAACTGCGCTCGGGCCGCAAAATCATCAATCCCCACAGTTTCCCGATAAAGTCCTTCTCAGCGTTTTTACATACTCCCTACTCTCCGGCGTGAACTCACTTTTTCCCCATATCTTCAATTTGTCAATGCCTCGACTCTCATGAATCTAACTCCGGCGAAGCGGGTCACAGTCCAGGTCCGGACTCTGGCTGATCGTCGCAGTATGTATACCTTAACCCTTGCACAAACATCTCTAGGGCTTATCTCCGAGATGTCCATGCTGGCGATCGTGTCGCTACATCTGGCTCACTCGTGGGCTCCGACGAATGTTGACTAACTCACATATGCCTCGTAGTTTCTCTGATTCTACCAAAGCGTTTATACACGTCGAATCCCGCGAATGCTGTGACTAACGACAACCGGGCAACCAAGAAGCCTGAATTTCACGACTACTTTGTTACGCACTTACCATCTTCCTCTCTTCACCCAGATCCCCGGGCACCAGTCAACCCTTTCTACAAACTTCCTCGCTCCGCCTCCGTTCCTCATACTGGAGAGTCATCTCACCCCCCAGCCTCCTTCCAGCCGCTCGTCGCCCGGGAGACGACTGTCGTCCGCATCCCTCTTCGCAGCGCGAAACACCACTTCGGCGCCTCTACTTCCCGCGGAACTCGCCCGGAGAATGAAGATACATATCAAGCTGGCGTGATCGACATCCCTGCCTTTGCGAAGCGTCCCCCTGCGTCCCTGACGATCAAACGATCGGGTGCCAATGGATCCCCTGCACCCCGCGAGAGTCAAGGGGCGGAGACTGCTAGTGGCGATCCACAGGTTTTCTATTTCTCAATATTCGACGGCCACGGGGGGAACGAATGTAGCACGTTTCTACAGCACACTCTTCATGAGTACATACAGGATTCGGCAGCGATGTTCGAGCTCCAGTCCAGTCTGAAGAAAAACCGGGATGGCCATTATTCCAAGGACACAGATCCGTCTACTGGGGATTTGCCGATTCTGCAAGACGGCAACTCGCACCGAATCGGGGAACTAGAAAAACAACTCGTCCGAGATTGGCGAACCATAGTCGGAGGGTACTTCAAGAGATTTGTGCCTCCTCACTTCTCACATATTGGAAGAGGTGCCCGCGGAGAGCCAAAGGCACTGTCCGACCTACCTGAAGGTGTTACCATCGAAGAGGTCCTCGAATACGCCTTCCTCTGTGCCGATCTGGAATTTGTGTCGGCACAAGCGGCGAAACAAAGCGATGAATTGGAGAATGTGGGTCATCCTCTATACCAGGACAATATCCTCTACGGCCGTGATCGTACACCGTCTCTAAATATTGGGGGAGTAAGACGATTCAAGGGAGGTAGCACGGCTAGCGTCGCACTCATATCTACCCCAACGCCGACCCCTTTCTGGCATCCGTCTAGCCCATCTAGTCTGTTGGTGTCTCATGTCGGCGACACACGGATACTATTATGCTCTACAGAGACAGGCGAAGCCATCCCGCTGACTTCCAACCATCATCCGTCGTCACCGATTGAGGCGAGTCGCTTACGACGATATGCCACTACCTTCGTGACTGACTCATTTGGAGAAGAGCGCATGAGCGGATTGGCCAACACGCGAGCCTTTGGTGATGTTCAGTCGAAACGGATTGGCGTATCAGCCGAGCCAGAGCTCCGAAGGATTGAGATGGCACCTGCGGAGTACTCATTTTTGGTCCTCATGTCGGATGGCATCAGTGGAACGCTCGGTGACCAAGAAGTCGTTGACATCGTCAAGGAGGCCAGGACTCCCGAGCAGGGGTCTCGGGATGTGGTCAACTTTGCGAACGAAGTGACCAAGGAGGGAGACAATGCTACCTGCCTTGTCGTCCGACTAGGCGGTTGGGAACGACGACTTGAGGGCGGTTTGGGAAGCATGGGAACGAAGGAATCTCGAGAATGGCGCCGACAAGAAGCGACTGATCCACGTCGGTCACGGCGATGACCGTGAGGACGAACTTAATGCTAACTTGAGGATATGTACATATTGTTCTTATTACTACTTCTTTTACTTTGATGAACTTTGACTGGTCACACTGTACATATATATATCCCACATTCACAATACATCGCCATGTTGATTTGTGTCCGTCTCAACCTAATGCAGCCTAAAATGGAGCAGATCAAGGCGCAAGGAAGAGGCTATGAGGATCGGACTAGTGCTGACAGCCACGTCATGGTTTGCAACACGACGCCTTCAATCAGAGTATAGCCCCCAAGCCATATCGGCTTTGAACAAGCCGCAAAACCCGACCCAAGCCCGACAACACGAAGTATATATATACACAACCCTAATACTCCATCTCCTCCAGAAGGGATAAAAAAACAAGAAACCCAACACCCACACCACACACCCCAACAACCAAAATGCCCTCAACCTCAGACCCAGCACCCCTAACCCTCTACCGCGGCCTCCCAGGCACAGGAACCTACAGCTGGTCCCCATTCGTAACCAAACTGGAAGCCCGTCTGCGCTTCGCCGGTATACCCTACCGCGTGGAAACAGGCTCATTACGCAACGCACCCCGAGGCAAAGTGCCCTACATCTCCATCCCGGCCGAGACCCTTTACGAAGATGGAAGCACACCAGCTCCGCCGGTCGTTCTGGGCGATTCGACCATGATCACGAAGACATTTATCGAGAAGGGCTTAACGAAGGATTTCAATGCGAAGCTCTCGGGGTCGCAGAAGCTCCTGGATATGGGGCTGATGGCATTATTGGAGGATAAGTTGTATTGGTATAACGTACGTATCTATTTATGTATCATTGCTTGTTCTGGATGGGATTCACCAACGATCGATGATGAATATCTTTTTTAATGAGTTGAACATGCGGGAGATATGGCATTGTGTACTGATTCTGCGAACCAGGCACACGAAAAATGGGTGCTGAACTACTATACCATGCGGGATGTCATTCTGGCTGCATTGCCCTGGCCTGTCCGGGTCGTGGTGGGTCTTCTGGTCTACAGGAAAGTCACGCGTACTCTGACTGGTCAGGGGACGATGCTCTTCTCGACGGAGGAGATCGGGTCCTTGAGGGGGGAGATCTGGGAGCGGATCAATGGTGCGCTTGTCGAGGCGAGATCGCGACATGGAGGACAGGGTCCGTTCTGGGTTTCGGGTGGTGAGGAACCGACTGAGGCTGATGCGACGCTTTTTGGGTTTATTGTTTCTGGGTTGGTCTGTTATGCGTATGTTCATTTCTTTCTTTCTCTGAATTCTATGTTGCTATGACTTGTGATGCGTTGCTGATGCTGTTACGTTTGGTGTAGGGCGCCGGATACGCAGAAAGTTGTTCGGGGATACCCGGCGGTGGTGGATTATGCTCGGCGGATTCATGATAAATACTTCCCTGACTACGCGCTTTGGGCGTGAAAACAAGGTCGACATCGAATGCCTAAAGACTTCATCATGCAGGTGATGGGGAGCCAAGAAGCAGTGTCTTTTGGGTCAAGCATAGACCTCGTGGCGAACAGAGGGTTGCTATGGCATAAATACTGGCAGAGACCGGCCGATATCCAAAGCATTTCATCCCATACTTAGCTGATTTAAGGGCACATGTCAAAGTGCATACTTGGGGGAGTCTCGCTGAATGAGAAGACCTAGATACCGGAAAACTACAAAGGTTTCATTGCGCTAATGCACTGTACAAATACCTATAAACAAATCATTGCACAACAAGCCTTCTGGCCCATAAAAAGCAATATGTCAAAAAATGGCACCTACCAGGGGTAGTGTCATCAAAGCCAAGCACCATGTCGAAGCAAGTTTCAATGGTTCGGAGTTAAGACGGTGGTTCCGTCACAAAGAATCGCACCTAATATATCACGCTATTAGATGGAAATACCTACTAAGATGTAAGCTTTCGTAGGCATTGACGAGTTGAGCACTAGATCGCCTTGGTTCGAGAGAACAAACTGCTGTAAACAGCGTCGACAACGGGTTGCGCAGTGATCTGTTTGCCGCCGAAAAATCGTCCATTCAGGCCTTTGATGGCGTTTTCACCACCCTGGACGCGGTCGAACTTCAGGTAGATATCGCCTTGTGAGTTAGGATCTAGTGCAATGTGAACAACATGGCCATATTTTTCTTCGCACTCAGCGCGGACGTCATCCTCTAGCTCTTTAATCCAGCTTTCACCTTCTTCCCTGTAGAAAGGGTTAATGTCCATGGCTTGCAAAGAGTTTTATAGGGGTAGACTTACTCGCCAGGATCAAACATATTACGAAGCATAACACACCGACTCGCCATGTTGACATTGACAGGCAATGGCTTGGTTTCTGTTTTAGGCCGAAGCACCTTTTGCTTATCGTCGGCGGACGACTCTGAGGGTTCATCTGTTCTCGCGAGTTTCCTCATCAATGCGTCCCTACTATAGTTGTTGAAGTTTACACCAGCAACATCCGTATCATCTAAAGCACTAGCACCGGCCCCTTTTTCAGAATCCCGGCCGCCAGCACGGTCGAAGTTGCTAGTACCACCGGCCTGGATACCACGGCCTCCATGGCCCGAGAACGAAGAGCCCTGGAAATTCTGTTGGTTTGCACCTTGGCTCTGCAATCGTTGAGCACTCGAGTCAGGGGTGAACTTATCGTTGCCAAGGCCAACGCGGATTGCTCGACCAGCAAGGTCAAACCCGTTCATCTTTTCTAGTGCCTCCCGAGCTTGATTGGGATCACGGAACCTAGAAGACACCGGTTAACAACAATAGCATCACAAAAGAAGCAAGGGCTGACACTTACTGGACAAAACCATAACCTCTGCTTCTACCGGTTTCATCCTTTTGAAGCTGGACAAACTCGAGCTCGCCAAACGGCTCAAAAACATTCTGGAGGTCATTTTCAGTGATGCTGAAATGGATGTTACCCACGTACAACCTGTGAAATGGAGCTGCGTGATTATTGCCACTGCTGGCATCCGGGTTGCGAGCCTGACGATTCTTCTCCGCTTCAGTTAACTGTGCGATAATTGGAATTCCTAGAAGCTTCTGTCCTGTAAGCTGAATAGCAGGAGCAACGGAATCTTCGTTCTTAAATTCGACATAACCGACACTAAACAATTGTTAGGTCACCGACATACCCAATGGGAAATCGAACACTCACCCTTTAGACCGACCACTAACGCGATCCTTGACAATCTGAGCTTCTTTAACCGGTCCAACTTTCTCGAAGAAAGCAATCAGTTCCTTTGTTCTCAGACGTGCCGCAAGCTGCTGTACAAAAATGGTGCGTCTATCGCGCTCATCCTCGTTGAGCTCTGGGGTTCTTTCGCGACTGGGGCTACGTCTGCGTGTCTCTCGCTCACGGCGAGGGCGTCGGTCATCCTCCCTCTCATCCCGACGGGAACGGCCCGAAGGGCGGTAATAACGGTCATCATTAGGGGATCGAGATCGAGTGCGGGCCCGCCCGCCTCCGCGGTAATAGTCACCACCAGATCGGTAGTCGTCACCGCGTTCACGTCGAGATCGACGGCGATCACTCTCGCGGCTCCTGCTCCTCTTTCTGCTTCTATGGCTTCCGTTAGCACTGCCATGTTCGCTTCTCGGGCTCTTCATGTCTTCATCTCCATCGGCGTCACGGCGTCGGTCCCGGCTGCGGTCCCGGCGTCTACGATCCTTGTCTCGTGAGCGGTCGCGGTCCCGGCGGTCACTACTATCGGCTTTGGAGCGGTCATCGCGTTCCTGAGACTGTCGTGCATCTTGTGGCGCTGCGGCGGCTGTAGACTCAAGTAGAGCCTCGACATCGAGACCTGACATATTGACGATATGTTGATAACTCTCTCCTGGATGAAGCTGAATGGAAAGGAGAAAAGGAAGATCGTGCGGGATGGATTAAGGTCACTTTTGACTTGGTTAGATGGTGACAGCAGATCAGGCTTGACTTGAGCGAACCCTTCTGTTTCACAGCCTAGTTCCAGATAGAGCGTCCCTGCTCCTCAGTAACAGATCTAATCGTTGTAGAATATGACAAACTTTCAAGAGAAAAGGGGTTAGTTATCGAGGGTCAAGAGTCATTGAAGTGGTACGAGATAACAGGCAAGGTTGGGTGGAAATGAAAAGCGGCCTATATCACGTGGTGCATCTTGGCATTTATTGCCTCCGAACAATTTTCTGAATGAACCATGGAAATATCGCCACAAGCACGGTTACTCAATCTTATGTTCCAGTAAGCATGCTGCTGATGGTAAATGTAATTATATATTAGGTGTTATCATCATATACAATCGTATAAACACTATTTGACAAAATGGCCTCGCCGAAGACCATGATCATACTATGCGTATGGGAGGAATCAAGGTCCTGCAATAGCAGTTGACCGAATTCACTATACATGAAGTAGAGTAGGATAGAACAAAAACTAAGCTTTCGAAATCCAATTGGTTCAGAAACAAACATGAATAAAAGACTAACCCGCAATCATCCACGGCATGACTTCATACTTAGGATATTTGTGATGAATGCAAAGTGTTATGTGAGTATGTTCACTGTGTCTTCACGTCCTTAGGTGCCGGTGTTTCAAGCTCAGTACCGAAGATACGGTCCCAAAATCGGCTGGTGACACCGAAACCATTATCGAAATCGGCAAAATGATGTTGAAGGTGGTACTTCTTGAGCCCCTTATAGTAGAGTGGAAGACTGCAGTACAATATGGTCAATAACACTTTTACAAAACCCGACGTTCGAATGTGACTCACTTGCGATGATGGAGGAAATAATGGGTCAAGTCATAACATATATAACCGAATACACCGCCACAAAATACTGTCAAGGCGGCGTACCAATTATAGAAGAAGACAGTATGCGCCAGCTTCCAAAACGGTGTAGCAAGGATAACAAAAAGCGTTGGTGGCATCACAAGTCGGTATTTGTCCATAGGAAGATAGTGATGAATGCCGTGTAACAGGAAATGGAGGGTCAAGCCAACCCGGTTATCAGGAAGATATCTAGACAAACCTGGGTCAGGAAAACACTGGACTAGAAGAGGAGCTGGGAGCCATACCGATCAAGATGGAACAGGAATCTATGCATAATGTACTCGATCAAAGTCCACAGGAAAAGGCCACCAGTCCAATATGCAGCTGCAGTAGACACATTCTTCAGCCCAGCAAACCCGAGCACGGTACCGTAGGTAACAGGTGGCAGCCAAATCATGGGAACCACGTACCATGCGGTCTTGCTCAGTGGCTCCAGGAAGTTTCCAAAGAGAGGAGCCGATTCTCCTCCTTTGTAATGGCGCGGACGGTGGATCTGTTGCAAGTAGAACTCTTTGGTGAAGCCACCGTTCCAGAGCTGCATAAGAAGAGGCTTGTTGAGATCCAAGAACTTATACGTCTGGTAATCCTTGGAGTAGTCCGTCTCAACAGACAGATCCTCTTCGCGGGACATTCCAGTTGCGGCATATACTGGGCCCGATGTTCCTCCGACACCATTTGCTTTAGCGCCATCTATGCTTGTACCTTTGCCAATCGAATCGGAGGCAATAAAACCAATCAGACTGTCCTCCAGAATATCATAGGCTGCTTCCGAGTGTTCGTGAGAGACAGCATCGCGCAGAATTTCTTCGACGTCTTTTCCAGCATACTCAAGGATCAAATCGCCGCCACCAGGATGATCATCGACAAAAGAGGTAATGTCGTACACTTTTGATCCTAGAGTCACATAGCAAGATTTGGCATTATTGTGAGACTCGACCTCAGCCGAGGTAAACTTTGGCAGAGTCCTTCCAGGCATGGCTGTCAAACGGGAAACGCCCAGTTATGGATGCCAATCGTTGTAGTAGGAGGGATGAGATATAAGCGTGGAAATTCGAGAGATGCAGTTGGACAGATCACACCACACCTGAGAAACGGAATGGGTGATCGGAAAGGAGTGGCGTGAGCTTCACAATAATATCCAGGGTCGCGGGTCCGGTGGCTCCGACGGGTAGGGAAGGGGCACCGAAGGGAAAAAAAAAAAGAAAAAAAGTAAGAAATAATATTCGTCTGCGCAACTCGTGTAAAACAATTTGCGATGTAGCCAATCACCCACGAAAATGACTGATGTTTAAAGAGTAGTATTCATAGATTCATAAACAAGTATGAACATGGAGTAAGCAAAAGCGGAGGCGATAGGAAGATTCAAAGTCATTTTCCCTCTTCATCCTTCGTGATCACGCTGATGCCGAGGATGGACCAAGTTTGACGCTAACCTTTCAGAGAAGGTGACCCCTGGCCAGAAGGTTAGTCATCAACCCAAAAGAGACGAACACAACAATGTATATCGACGAAGTAGAGATGAGAAAGAAAAGGCTTCGTTGTATGCCAAACAGACGAGTGGGTACGCGAAGCAGTGTACATTTTTGTCCCCTGAATGTGGATGTAGCTAGACTTACTCACGCCGCCGTAGTACAGCCAATCCTATGGATCGAGCGCCCCGAGTTCTCAAGGGACACCAGTCCGATGGTTTATAAATTAAAATTATATGTAATAGTCTATACCCTGTTTCACAAGCACAGCCTCAGTTGCGATCAGGTGTATTCTAAAGAAGAAGAAGAAGGTCTAACGGGCGGCAAAAACCAGGAGTAGTGTCGGAGTATAGAATCCAGCAAAAGCAAGCATAAGTTCTGGGTCTAGATTAAGCATAGATCATTTCCTGCATGGTTGTCCAAGCGCCTAGCTTGTCAAGTGAAAGGATTTTGGCGACTTGTCATAGGGAGCCTCATAGGGGCTTGGGTAGTCTAACGGATTTTCAGCACTTGATGGCTAGGGGGTGCTGTTAACCTGTGGTCTGGTTCCTTGATATACACTGATTTGCATTTGCAATGGCCAATACAGAGCGCTAGTAGAGTTTAGTGCCTTGGCGGTACGGCAGTGTTCCATACCTAAGAGTATGAGGACTCGAGGACCTATCAAGATACAGGCAAAAGTAAACAGAGACAAGGGATGGCGATTGAGGTCGAGAAGGAACATCCTCGGGGCTTTGCGAGGCTTTTCGGATCCTTTCTTGGAGAATTGTTAACCCGGTATAGATGTGCCCAATGCATCTGCTTAGTTACCATACATTCGATCAGAACTGCATGGACAATATCATCTCGGGGTCCGAGTTCAGATCCTTGCGTTCGCTAATGCATGGGGTGGGGATTTGCCAATATTCAAGCCATCATGGGTAAGGGTTGACATGACATGCAATCTTCTACTACTACGGAGTATGGTAAGGCTAGAGAGCATAGTTTCAACTCAGAGGAAGGTCCGCGGATCCTGATTGAATATATCGGACACGCCCAACGTTCTGGCCGAGAATCAAGGCCTACTGCCAGACACTACCGGTCGCTCTCCGTCGAGGTCAACAAAGGTGAATCCAATCAAACCGTTTTCACCTTCGGCTGAACCTCTAGCGGGGCTGGCTGAGTAGATAGGCTTTTTTTTCAGAATCAGAATCAGGATTCAGCTTTGCCTCAGGGTAGCTGATTGAGGCTCGCGGTCATACTGAGACTGTCCGTCTCAGCCTCATTTCTCTTTCGATTCTTATTCGTCGTGTTGAATTTTCCCCTCCGCCTGTACCGTGGTTCATCTGGACTCGGAAGAACTTAAACGGCGTTAACTTGTTTCTCTTTCGTACTGGATATGGTACGACCTAAAACCCTCCCATACGCCAAACCCAGTCTAGCGATATGGGGACTTTAGGGTTAAGAGGCCGACTGCGGAGCACTCCTCCCGAAGAACAAGTCCCCAACTAGAGTGCATATGGTAGGCGGTCAAGGGAATTTTCGGACAAAATTGAGATTAGTGCAGAAGCGGTCTCTCAGCCCGTTCTCCTCTTTCGGTCTTAGTGTAAATGATGGTACGGCTTAGTATGACTTAGAGGAAAGTTGTACCAATCTTAACCATTCTTTACCCCTTAATATGGGGAGGCCACAAACCGATGGTATTGCGATTACAATAACCTGGTTGGAGAATCATCGGAGATCCTCGAAACGGTCCACCAACAGACGATCTTCATCAGTCAATCAGTGAGCGTGACCTTGAGATGAATGCATGAGAGCAAAAAGGTACACACACGCACATACATACACAAAACACACTCGACTCATCCAAAAAAAGTAAGTCAACAATGAAAAAAGGACAAAAAAAAAGTAAAAAAGAAAAGAGGAGGGGGCACATGAGATACACCATGTCCAAGTTCCTATTTTCAGTTCGGAATCATTCTCCTTTGCCCCCCTCTCTTCTATCCCTCTCTCTCCCTTTGTCTTCGTTCCTCTCTCTCTCTTTCTTCCTCTTTTTATTTTTATTTTTATGTGACAGATGTTACCTTGTCGGAGTATAAAAGATCAACACCCCAACGAATCTACCAACAACGTCCTCGAGGGACAATTAGCTGACTCGATTGAGTTTGCCTAGGAGATAAAATAACCACAACACTGGGTCTTTTGCCCCCCCTGTCGATTTACCTGAACGGACTAACTGTCAGAAAAAGTGGAGTTCACAAAAGCCTTCCGTCAATCATTTTGTCTCGACCGACTGGACCATTTTATTTGCTTAGACGCCAACGACGTTAGTACAGGTTTAGTTTCATCAAGAGGGCCAACTTCTCTGGTTCACTTTGCCCCAAGCTCTCAGGTTAAAAGAAGAAGGCAATTCCCCATTGTTCTCCCCGTTTCTTGAACGACATACAACTCCCCCGCGGTTATTCCGGATCCTCCATAAATAATGGAAGGCTCAACATTCGAATCCCCTTCTTTCCTGGGAAATCGTTTAATCTCCTACCTTCAGACCCTAACGACGGCTAAGAAGGGATTGCCGTTTGGTCTTCCTGTTTGCGTGTCTCCCTCCCACACCATCACTACCACAGATGCTCTGCTTCAACTAGCATCGTCCGTTGGCCCACACATTGCCATTCTCCAGATCCACGCGGATATTATCGACGACTGGTCCGACGAGACAGCTCGCCAATTGACCTCCTTAGCCAAGAAACATGGATTTTTGTTGTGGGAGTCTGGCCGCATTCTCAATGCTACCGTCGATATTGTTGGCAGACAGAAAACCGAGTCAAGAGAAGTGAAGAATCAGCTAGTGGACTTGATCCGGAAGAAATACACGAAAGGTGTCATAAAGGAAGCTTCGTGGGCTGTTTTGGGAACCGCATGGGCCTCAGGAGTGGCAGTGGGTAACCAGGAGGCTGATATCTTGATCCCGACCCTAAAAGCTGCCGCTCGAGAGGCTGTGGCAGACGCCGTGCAGACCATCAAGACAGAAATTACAGCCAATAATCCAAGTGAACGTCCATCCACTGGCCATGAATCAATACCTTTCGGGGATAACGATGCTACTTCACATCTTTCTGAATATGCGGTTGGCGACACCAGCGGTCTAGCACTTCCGCCCCGAAAAGCGTCGACTATATCTCTTACCCAGACAATCACACAACATACGGAGGATGTAATAGAATCGCCTACGGACTCTGGAGCTTATGAACGGAAGGAAAGCTTTGAAAGCGCAGCCTCAAGTCTATTTGTTATCAGCGAGGATATCCCTCCTCCACCTCTCCTGGCACGTGGTCTTGTCCTTTGTCTGCCGTCAACTACCGATTCCTCTTTCAAGTCTGATTACAGAAAGAGCTGCTTGGCAGCAGCACGCGCGAATCAAGATTTTGTGATTGGATTTATATGCGGTGAGCTATGGCATCTTGTTTCTCAGAGAAACGATATATTCGACGCCGAGTCTCTGGTGCACGAAGAAGACCAACAGCAACCTAGTCCCTATGCTTCAGATGAGGAGGAGCCTCAGCCGTGTCTGGCGCTATTCTCGCATGTTCCCCCACGGCTCAACCTTATAGGGAACGCTGATCTGGAAGATCATGAAGAGGAAAATGGAATGGGTGAGATGAGCTGGTCTGCGATGAAGGCATCCCAGGCAGACACCACGAATCTATTGTCCATGAAGCTTTTCTACAGTATAGCGCATGCACTGAAGCTTCGAGAAACGTCCGTCAAGGACAAGCAAAACGGGACTACCAGCACAAGTAACCGGAATGACTATGAGATCCTGCACATCCCTGTTGTATCTTTGCCTTAGGAGAGGTTGCTAATATTCGGCGTTTTATTCTTCCATTCTCTCCCTTGCTTTCTTTTTTTGTTTTTTTCTTTTTTCTTTTTTCTTTTTTTTTTAACATTCCCTTTGGGTTGCGTTTCTTGCTGGGTGATTCGATAGCGCATTCCTTCGTGTCATCAATAGAATTTTCTTTCCCTTTTTTGTTCGTGACTATGGAGTTGGACACCCCTGAATGGATGGGATGGTGAGGCACACCTTATTGAAGTTATACAACTGTTTAATTTAATGTGAAAACAGACATACTGTATAATACAATTCCCAGTACAGAAAATTATTTTGTTTACAGGGCAATCGTCCTGTGGAAGCATAGAAACTGTACATCTCGGGTTTAATACACAATGCCACTTTCGGAAGGTGCAGCATCACATGACGCCATTCCCGGCAACGTTCGCAATGACCTATTTGGATTTCCCCACCAACTAAACCAACTCTGCGCCATAATCGAGTCCCAACCCTTTTACGCATACTAGAATGCATATGGTCGTATGCCTATAGTCTCTTCTTGCGGGGGAATATACTACGCTCTCATAATTGTGTAGAGGGATATCCAAATAACAACGCAAGCAACAACCATTTCAACCATATTGATGAGAATCAGCAGTACAGGCAATTCTACAGTTCCAATGTTCTTTCAGGATTGTGACGCGAGTAGTGTGAAAAGGGTCTATATACAGACTTTCATCTCCTGAACTTATACGTCATGGAGCCAAGTCACTCTTCATTACCAGTTGAAATAGGAGCTTCGCTTCAAACACTGGGGTTTCACGATACTCAGGACGATCCCCCCTGCTCTCATTTGATAGGGGAGGCTTCCACTACTACTACTAAAACCAATATGGGGAGAAATACGCCTCTAATTGGAGCTCAGCCAGCTGTAAAGGTTCTATCCAGCACCGGGGATGTGATTATCGAATGCGTTTCCCCAGACAACTCTCCTGATTCTCCTGAAAACGCTAGTCACCGTTGGCAGGTCTTAAGTGATGATCTTATGAGGGAAAGTCCCTACTTTCGGGCCTTGCTTGACCCTAATAAATTCTCTGAGGGTAGGGATTTCATCCAACAGAAGGCCAAGTGGAGCCAGGGTACCATTGCTAAGGGTGGAGAATCTTTATCTGATGATATTTCAATCCGGTATAACTTGCCAACAGTTAGGTTGCCGGTGGATCATCTCCCACAAAAGCTTGGGGTAGACGCTATTGAACTGTTCCTCCGAGTGCTATCGTTCAACTCATTTGATGAAGAGGAGAAAGCTAAGTTCGACGGGGAGCTCAGAATTCAGCCTACCTCATTAGTTGCTCGGTTGGTAGAGCTAGCTGATGCCTTCAACTCTCCTCATGTCATCCGGGAAGCTCTGAAAAGGTCCAGGTATGCTTTTGGGAAAGGAAGAGCTCCCTTGTTGAGATTTGATGCCTCGGTACTGAGATTGAGCGAGGACCGAATTCGGCAAACGATCTTCATAGCGAGGTTTCTTAATGAGTATACCATTTTCCAAATATGGACGCATGCGCTGATCCTTACTGGGTCAAAGTTTTGGGTAAATGGTGTGGAACCACCTACTTCAGCTACCGTCCGCTGGCGGTATCTTTCTGATGGTCTAGAAGGTAAAACTGGCTCTCTTTTATCATTATCTCAACATACGGTGTTTAGCCGCTAACAGGTCTATAGAAGAATTATACTATAGACGACAATGCGTTTTGAATACCATTACAGATCTCCAAGCGTACTTTCTCCGCGCTTTTGGCGCATTGGAGGAACCAGAACGCCCTAAATCGACCAGCGCATCGGGCGCAGTAACTGCGGTCCAATCTCGACAGTATCAATGTCGGTGTGGATTTGGTAATTCTAGTGCCTGTGACACCTTCCATCTGGGCCAAATGACCCGCTTTTTCACTCTGCGCACGAAGACCATATTCTTAGGATCTACCCTAATAGATCCGGATTTTGGCTTAGACTCTGAAGATGAGGATACAGCAGAACGTTCCCAACCCGCTGGGTCACCAAGCGACATAACTTCAATCATCGCCTCTCTCAAACAGTGTCCTGATTATCAAATCGACACGAATCACAATGGTTGCGGCGTGCGACGCCGATTTCTTCCGCCTTTGGATTGCATAGAGCGGTTTGTGGGCGACGGTAGAGGCTTACTAGGTATTGAGTTACACGACTGGGATAACAAGAATTGGTCATCTTCGTCCGGCTCGTGGGCAAATCGGTCACTTCGAAGAGCCCGTGTCATCGATATCCATCTGTCCAGGATCAGTTCTGTGCCCGTCATGTCCTCGGGCTTATCACGACCCTCTTCTCAAGAAGAGAATGCTCGCTTGCTTTTTACAGCAAAGAAAAGGAACTGGGAAGCTTGATCTGAACAGTAGGCCCCCATGTCTGCGGCCCCGAAATTCATTATTATGTCGCCATTATGTCTGCTTGAACGGATCTATTGTTACGAAGACACTATCGTTGGTAAATACAGGTATAGACTACGTCGATTGTGTACAGGCAATCTTGTATCTCCTTAGGGCATTACTATTGGGGGTAAAGGCTTAAAGTATATATTTATGTCGTTTTAGCGACGAACAGACTTAACACTTTCAGTGTTCGAAGGAACTGTGGGAATTCAATTTAAAAATTAGCACGACAAAGAGGAGTATGCTTTTCTCCCTGTTTATTACAGATAGTGCCTTGCGGCAACAATACTCTTAACCATACAACAAGTAAAACATGGCTTTTAAGGAACCGGGGGTGAATGGCCAGCACATTGAACATCACAGAGCGATTTGGCATCTTGCTCATATCGGGAAGGAGGCCATGATCTAGTCGGCCGGTCAAGAGATTTGCTCATGTAGTAGGCTATACGTGTTCTGATCTCTTCAGTCTTTTCTTTCTCTCCCCATCCCCCCTCTCCTCTCCTCTTCCTTTTTTTTTTTTTTTACTTTCTTGGTCTTTTGTAGGTGCTAAATGGACTTGAGGAGTAAAAAGCTGTATGATTGTGCAGTACCAGCAGGAATTTCTGGATAAATCTGAGGGTATTGACCTCATGACCTCAGGATTGAATAGTAGTGGGTTTGTAGTCCAGCGAAATCAAGCAAAACACTGGTACATTACATAGCCATGAAGGATCGCGTCTAGATAAACATTGTGTGTCTCAATCAGCTGTGTTGGCTTCCGCTTGGAAGCGAGTGTTGAGAGCGTCACGGTGAATTTATTCTGGAAAGGAGTGACTCCTCATCAACAAGACCTCATTTCACTGCTAAATACGTGTCGAGGTGGTGAATCATGTTTTTTTGATCTCGCTCGCAGGTGTGAAAGGCTCTCCTAATAGCATGATTATATCTTCATTGTTTCCGTTGCGTAATTCGTGTAGACTTATTTTCCTCGTGTCTGTCATGTATGAAGACGGACAGGCGACGAACAGGCACCGCCGCCATCCATTAGTCGAGTACTGGGAGAGGGCCATTAGACATTAAATAGTTAAATCAACAGTAGCTTGTAATCAAGGATATGGGGCTAGCGAAAGACAACGTGTGTTGCAGAAGTTCTTTGAAGATTAGTGTTCCATGAGCATGACCTTGATTCAACAGGTGTAAAGGTTGAAAGCTCCATATTACTTGAAAGATATATGATGCATTGTGCTATCTGGGGCCATTTCGAATCACTGGAGATGCTGATGCCGGCTGTTTGTAATAGTTGTCATCCCATCGTTTCATCCCAATTATATGGCCCCAGTCTGATATCAATGTCATCTTCGGAAGGGAAAAATGAACCGGTTATCTGACCCGTGTTAGGGTCGTAGGGTAAATAGCTGTCATAAAGATTGTGGACAGCGAAAATTTTCTCATCTTGCTCAAATTCATGTGTCTCCGGGACTTCCAGGTCAACTGACGATGGCCGGGCAAATGCGGCACTGGAATGGTCTACCGGTGACAATGGCATAGAACCTTCTCTGCTTGGGATACCATTGGGGGTGGCTACTCTTGTGGATCTGTGACGTGGATCGTGAAGTTCGTCATCGGGCGAGTTCTGTGAAGTAAGGCCCGCTATACAAGGGAAGCTGTGGATCTCAGTACCGTCGTTGAAGCCAAGTCGGCGCAGGAACTCATCACACATTCTCCGAGCTTTTTCCGAGGCCATACTAGTCTCAGACATAACTGACAGCCAATCGTAGGACTTCTTAACTGCCTTTGACACCATGGCCGCTTTTTCAGGAACGTGTTGGACATGGAAAGAAAGCTCAATCAACAAGATGGCAGTTGCTTGCATAAGGAAATGTAATATGCACCACCATGGAGACAATTTGTGAAGTAATGCCGCTTCCAGAGGCTCAGGAAATAGTCTCAACAAATGGCAAGCTGATTCTACACATTCAACTGCAGCCTTCCTGCAGAATTCTTCCGATTTATCACCAAGTGCACTTGACTCTATACGGCGAAGGCACGGCTTTGTGATCCCAATCTTCGTACTGTAAAATGTGAGAGCTAGGCTCATTCTGTGGGTTGCCGAGCCTTGCGAAGTGTGTGTAGAGGTAAAATCGTAAGCAGTGGGCAGATTTATAAGCCAGGAATCAAGATCAAGCATGAGTCCTCGTATCGCAAATTCCATACTTGACCAAGGCTTTTCCACCCCATCAGGGCTGTAGAGTTTGTTTGTCATCCTTTTCGCAATTGAAGTCAATTTTACCAACTGCAAGAAGTATAGTGACTTGCACGGTGCAGCGGCGTTTGCATCTGCGCTCTCTATCCCTTTACCTGTGTCCTTGGGGTCTGGATTAGGCGAAGAATTCAAGGCCAGACCGGGTTGGCTAAGGCCCTCTAGTGTGGAACGACTTATGAGGTGCATTACCGATTCTTTGCGAAAGTCGCTCTCATCGAAAGGGACAGGGAGAGGGGTCGTGCAGGCGCCATCTATGATGCAGGAGGGTCGGCCTGTCATCACACTGAGACGATGCTCGAGTGTGTATAAAGCCCACCACACACGGTATCTTATTTCTTTAGATGTGTCGGAAGTGCATGTCCCTATATTGCGTAAATGCAACCCAAGGCTCAGTGCACTTCGCACAGCACTACCACAGAGCTTCCATGACCTGGATCTATCCGTAAGCGTGGCGAGCTTTACAATCGAAACGCAGATACCCAACGCAAGCATACCGATTCATATGGCCGGATGATAACATATAGAACGACGCCAACCCTTCAACTTGTAACTGTTGTAGATCAGAGTGGTGCAGCAGTTGGCCCTCAAGACTCATGTTTCTCGCTCTTATGAAGTATGAATAGTGATCATCCCTATCCCTTCTCCATTCTGCATTGGTCAAATGAGCATATCTTGCACCAATAGCAAAGATGAGGTTCAATATGGCAAGCCACTTGTTTCCTGGTTTCAGGGACGGGTTATTGAAGAAAGCTTGAAATTGTGATGCAAATGTCGAAATTCCGATTATGGGAAATGAAGGATGTACAGAACTCAAGTACGCATTGAAAAGTTTTGTAGCAGTGTCCTTAGACGGGAGCTCGAATGTGTCGAGTCGCTCAATGGTAGGCATGTCGAAGTCGTCAAGGTGATAATTTGACGAAGCTATCGGCCCATCACAGTAGGATGTCAAAGCCGGTGAAGATATACCAGAAACTGGATGACATACCTCGCACCCAGAGTCCACATATTTGCTTAACATCTGCAGCCATGAGACCTCGGAGCTTTTACCAATGAAACCCGTAGCCCGTGTGAAGTGATCCCGATTAAAATCTTCATCGGTGTGGGCGGCAACATGCGACACAAGCGAAGTAGCTGAAAGATAGGGCTCTGAGCCCAAGGCCCAAAAGAACTTCCTATCCTCCGGCGTAGCGGCATATGGATCAGGCTGTGCGGTCGATTCAGCAGCTGAATCCTGCTTTCACTTAGTATATAGAGGATGAGGAAGGGCTATTCACACCCACTGCCAGTGCAAAACTCATCAGCTGCTCATCAGAGATACCGAATCGACTGCTCAGTTTTCTAAGGACATCTTCATAGGCCTGTATCTTCCCTTCTAAGCTAGCCATCTGTCTTTGAAAGATGTTTATGAATGTTGGCATGTTCAAGGCACCAAGGACGTAGAAGATGAAATCAAACAATGCCACTAACCTTTTAGATTTCTCTCGCTTTCCGTCAGTATAACAACATATAATACCTGCTTCCTTACAATTCCGGCAACCTGACTTATCACCCGTGCATTTTGTCTTCCTCTGCCTGCAAGATTCGCATGCTCGACTAACATGGCGACGATGGAACCTCCCGGGCGAGGTAAAAGCAGACTCAGATCCTTCTGCCAGTCTTGGTATGGCCATTTTTCTGCTACCTAAGAGATGATCTATGTCATGTGCGGGTGGCGGGGCCATCGGAGTGTCCTGCACGTTATTAGGAGCATAAACACGTGAACATGCACGGAAAGTAGGATATTTGCTTCAGTGCTCAAATGGACAGATCATACCCCATGGCTGTAGCTTTTAGCATCAGAGGAAGATGCACTGAACATAGTAGACTGGTCTTTCCAGGAGAAAAATTGCAGGTTAATCATCGTGTAATGCAAGCGACATGGGTACATCGGGGACTTGAAAAATAAATAAATATATGTCTCTCTTCTCTACAGAGGAAAGCAAACCGGACAAGTACCAAGGCTTAACTATAAAGTCAATATGTAAGAGACGCATACCTGAGAAAATAAGGTTCTTACCTCTGTGCGTGCCAGAAATTGTATGCTTCTGTCGATGAAAGTTGATTTTTGGATTCTAAGGAAACATCCCAAAAGATGTCGCCATTATCAATGTGGCACTGAGACACCACTCACAGCATATCCCAGAAAGCAAGTCAAGAGGTGTCTCGAGACATATTTAACCACTGGAATCATGCCAATATAGGAAAATGAAACCCTGGAGGGGAAAAATATAAATAAAAATAAGAAAGTTTGTCGGAATGGCAGAGCGCCATGTGGGGGTCATTGCCCAGAGACATTTTCATGGATATCTGAAACCCATAATGCGCAGTTGTAATGGTATAGAAGCCCGAGTCAGGTAGGTTCTAGATGGATCGGGGAACTGGATGTTCACCGCCGATACCTAATAAGGCGATCAAGCTGTTGCCTATAAAGTCATTGGGTCTCTTTAACCGGGTGGCGGTTGACACTCGACAGGGGATATCCATCGTACCCAAATGTCGCCTTAGACGCCGTACAGGGGAGCCAATGTGACATGCAGTGGAGTATGGTTGATCGGTCACACCTAGAGCCGCCCTGCACGATCTCATTGGCTTCCACCATTTCAGCCGTCTGCCCATTTTCAGATGGAAGAGCCTCTCACAGGGCTGGTTGAGCATGGTCTAGAATCACTCGTCTCCGTCTTGTCCCTACATGTAATGCCTATGCGAGAATGCATCTTTGGCGTTGCTATTAGATGTTGCAGCAGTCAGGTTAAAGGTTAAGTGAATTGAAATATCTAGAATGACGGGGCGATCCATAGTTGACATGACCAGTTGGAAACTTGACAAGCCAAGTTTCGATATTTCGTCTGAGGGTTAGTAAGACATACGCACGGAAATTACATCCCTCGCGCCTTGGTTGACTGAGATCCCCGTCGACTTGCCCTTACACCCCACCTGATCGCCAAGGGGATGACCACTTGGGGCAGTGGCGTAGAAGAGGGGAGGATACCCCAACAGCTTCCCAGGACTCCTGGTTACCGTACTTTAAACGTGATCCAATAGCCAGTAGCTCATGTGAAATAGTTTGCACCTCCTCACCGAAAGGCTGACCATCCATGGCGGAGTGTTGGGGGTACGGAGAAGCCTGGAAGATCAATCAATGAGAGGATTGACAGAGTGTTGTATACACTAAGCATGAGCCGAGAGTCGTTTATGCCCTTTTCAGCTTTGTCCTCCGTGGCTCCGCCCCGTCATGGCGGATGGGAGACTGTGCCTATCGGTGCTGACGTCTTTCATTACATCCGAATGACCCAGTTTCGACGACATCCATTTAATCGAGAGCCATGGTCAGCGCGGGCTAAATGTCTCATTCTCGCCCATACGCACATACTTCAATATTAGTATCGGGTGCTGTCGAATGCCGAGTGTCCAAGATCAGGGGTGGTTCAAGAGCGAGAAGTATGCCGTAATGTGAAGATGAGAATACAACCAAAGAACACCAAAGGCAGGTGACTTGACAATTGCCACATAATAAAAAGACAACAAAACTTATCGTTTCATGTGCCCTCTTGTCGTCCTACGAAGATTGAAATTAATTCCACCAAGGAGAATAAAAAAAAAAGAAAAAGAAAAAGAAAAAGAAAAAAAAAAATATAATCCAGAGACATAACCCTATCGACTTTCTAATTAGATTCTGTGTTTCCTTTAGTGACCTATGTTCAGTAGCGGTCAATATATGGTTGGAACAGACTTGCCCCTTTTGTGAACCTAGGTATGTAGAAATATGATCTTTGGTATAGATCGCCTATACTCAAAGTAGACCCCAAGAGTGCTAGCCCCTCCCTTGGTTTAAAATCGTGTACACCGACTTTACCATTCTCATATAGACAACTAGGCAGGGATGATAATTTGAATTGAGAATATAAGAACAAAAGAGCCCTGGTCAACAGTATTAGAGGAAAAGAGGAAATTTGCAGTGATAAAATCTTGAAGGCAATCCGAACATCATTAGTACTCTATACACCCAAAACGGTATTACTTGATCAAATAACCATCTGCAATGCTCTTCACCTCCTTGCTGAACCCGGTTTCTTCGCCATCCATCTCCAATAGAGAGACGGCAGTAACATCAACCTCAACGAACGGATTCGTTTTGGAGAAACGAACGTTCATCGGGAAGAAAATATTTTCATCAGAATCGCCGGTAGATTCAAACTCGAAGCTACCAGACGCGTTGGTTTCATCCACTGTTCCGATGTTCCAGTCGATGCTATCTCCGGTCACTTCGTACACAGCATCAAAACTAGATACAGACGGTTCTATTTCGCCATATGGAATAGTAACAACAACGTCACGCAAATCGTCCGACCCAGTGAGCTCGTATTCAACGGTGACTGTAGTGGAATCGGATCCCTTGTTCACCCAGACGGTGAAGGTGATAGGGAGCATATCAGCATTATCCGAGCTAGCGACACGCCAACGCAGGACGCCGATTGAGTTATTAACCGGGAATCGCTTGGTCGAATCCTTTAGTTGAATGGCAGATGAGTCGGTGAAGGCAGCCTTATCAACATTTGGATGTGTACGGAACTGAGCTCCATGAGTAGGGTTGGTGGCAAGGTCAAGTTTGACCTTAGTGAATGACGGATCGGAGATGCGGAGCTGTAAGTCGCCCTTGACTTCGAAGGATTTCAGAGCACCTTCACGTGTAAGACTGGCAGAGATTGTTTCTGCAATAGTAACGTGAACAGGATCCCGGTCAACAGAGAGAGAGGCGCGAGCAGACGAAGTCTCCCCGACGACAGGACTTGAGACTTGGGGGGTGACTAGAGGGCTAGACTCCTCAGCTTCGGGGCCCAGATCGCCGCGGACTTTCTCGTATATATCCGTGGTTTTTGACTTCTTTCCCAGCTGCATGCCCTTCCCTCTAGTTGGCAATGGCCTGAAAAATGTCGCCTGTTAGTGACAGCAACAAAGGTAGCAATATACAGACACATACTTGGCAAATGACTTCTTCTTCTCTGCTTCATAGGAATCGTAGGTATCGGGTACGGCAGGTCGCGATGGGGGAGTGTAGACAGGATAGGACGGGGTGCGTGGAGCCATGGCACGACCGGTGCGAGCTGCCTCCTTTCGCTGCATCTCCAGTTGTTTCGCTTTTCTTTTGCGCTCCTCGCTCGCCTCGAGTTCTTTGTTCTACAGAGTAAAGTCAGCAAGGAATCAGCCGCTTGCCTAGTAGAGATATCTACCCGTTCAATAATCTCTTGAATTCTCTCCTCGTGACTCTCCATTTCCAAGAAAGTCTTGATCTGCGACAGCGATAGATTCTCCCTGTATCCCAGCGTCACTAGCTCGTCATATGCGCTGAGGAGCTCGAAAGCATTGCGCAAAATTTCCCGTTCATCTAAGCTCTTGCAAATACTGGTAGTAACTTGGGCAAACAGGTGGAGGCTATCGATGTCTTGCAGAATGTTGGATTGACGGTTGGTAATCAGGACAATGTATAGCTCATCCAGGGGCTGGTACACAAAGCGGACATTGTCTTGTTCAACGGTGGTATGTTGGGTGCCAGAATCTGCCAGTTTCGGGAAGGATGCGAGTAAAGCTTCGATTCTGGAGCGAGAAATCTCACGGAACTGGCGCGAAAGAACTGCTTTACCCCCGCGGGTGCATATGGACGCTGCGAGTACGACCTGTGTTTGTGTGTTGACAACGGTCAGTAAGATTTAGTGGGATCACTAAGAGTGGCAACAGACCATGACTGTATAATAAACGGTCTAAATCCGTCTCAATGGTAGTCGAGCAGAATGGCAGCTTTAGTCGAATGACCGATTGTCTGAAAGCGTGTCCAGACTGTGACCGAATGCAATGCCAGGTATTCCACTCCAGCGGCGGAGCCGCTTGCTGTTCACTTCTGTCTCTCCGTTGGCCCGTGCACAGCGCTACCCCCTCGCTTACCACAGCACAAGAGAGAGAGACTGAGAGAGCCCAACTTTGCCGCTGGCGACCTCTACACGACTAACAACCCGTCAACCCGTCACCGACCTCTATCTCCTTTCTTTTTATCTTTCACTTTTCTCCCATACTGACGGTTGTCGAAAGGGTCTCTATCTCTTCTACTTTACGTGTTGGTTGAGACCTTCTTTTTTCTTATTAGTAAGCGTAGCAGGCACACCTATAACTATTCAAACTCCAACCTTGACAGCTGGGACGCCACGCTGAAATATTACGCGATTCCCTTTACCTGTTGCTTTTTAATACATTCATGCCATGGCCACAACCTCTTCATTAGCCTTTTCTGCAATGGAACCCCCTGTCATTGATGACACGATGGAGATGGCATCGCCTTACCAGGGGCATGCCGATGATTTCGACATCGACCTTGATGTCATGGATGACCAAGCTTCAAACACCGACAGAGATATGATAGGGGCCGACGAATATGAAGAAGCTCCTCATGGAACAGAATACGAACAAGACGACCCGAACGATGCGGATATGATAGATGAGGTCGCCGAACCAGCCATGCTCGATGTGGACGACCAGTATGCAGAGACAAGCTATAGTGTCGAGATGCAGTACGGCACCGAGAAGATTTATGAGGCGGAAATGCTAGAAGATGATTACGATGAAGACATTGATGCCCCTGTTCCAGAAGCCCCTGTACCCGAATCTCAAGAAGCCCCGACATCCCTTGAGCCTGCAGATAATCAAGTAACATCAGAACAAATCTTAACCAAAAAGAATGAAAGCGATGAGACCGCTAGCGAAAATCACACTGCGGAAGCCCATTCCGTGAATGACACCGAATCCGCACCCCCCAAAGATGATGCACCTAAAGAAAAATTTTCGGAAGAAGCTCCCCCAGGGCACCATCATGAAGATGAAAACAAGATCGCCCAAGAGGCTGAAGTGGACCAGCCCGAGTCTGCAGAGGTGGATAATAATGTCGTTGACACTAACCAACCAGAACAAGCAGATATACACGAAATTCCTAGTGATCATGAGGATCATACAGCTGGCGCCGAAAACCCCGAAGTCCATGAAGATGATGCAGATGAACGTCGGCAAACAGGGGACAAGAACAAAGAACTGGAACCGGAAGAAAAGAAAACCACAGAGCATGACACAGAACATGATGAGTCTCATGGGCAGGAGACAGAATTTGCAGAAGACGACGAGCAAGAGCAGGATACGACTAAGGATTCTTCGTTGTATCCTGTGAGAGTGTACTACCAAGACAACGAAATCTCACTATTCCCTCCCCAGGAGGGTGACTCCTCCGAGACATTTTTTCTCGAAGATGAAAATCTCGCATACGCACCATTAGGAGAACTCTTTCAGTCCTGCCGTCGAGTGCTCCAAGGAAATGTTGGAGAGAATGATGTTCTCGTTATGGATATTGATGCTTTGAACATTCAGCTAACTGAGGTTCGTCAGCCTCCCAATGTTCATTGTACAGATGCTAACTGACAACCTAGGATTCTTTACATATATCAAAGGTGACTTTGTGCCAGATTGTGGATCTGTATCTCCAGTTGTGTCACAATGATGGAATTGATGAACCTGAGCCGCTCTATCTAAGTCTCACCACGAAACTGAATATACCTGCGGAGGTGTCCGACCTTCTCCTTGCTGCCAGCGAAGGAAAAGGGCTGTCTGAAATCCATTCATGGGATGGCTATCAAGAAGTGGAAGCAGCTTCGGCAGAAATCTTTGAAGGAGACGATCAGGAAGCGAACTCTGGCGAGGAACAGCAAGGCATCTCCGACCAACAAGAGGGTCACCCCTCTGAGTCGCAGGAAGTTGATGAAAACCAGTCAGATGTCCACGAGCGGCAAGTTGCGGAGGCCCAACCGGATGAAAAATATCCAGAAAGTGACGATGTAGGTGCTGATCCATCGGGTGGCACCATTGAAGAGATCAACGATGGTGAAACCACAGCCCCCCCTCAGCCAGAACTTGAGAATCCTGAGCTTCACGATCATCAGTCACTAGATGAAGAACCGTATGACTCTGAGGAGGAGCAGCATACAGAATCGACTGCTACTATCACTAATTTCTCGGCAACTGATCTGACAGAGGAACAGCCAAATCCTGACGACTCTACGGATGCTCCACATGATGATCACCAAGCCCATGATAACCATGAAGAACAATACGGCCTGGGAAGCGCCAGCGACGGAGACTATCCCGAAGAGGGAGAGATTTCGATCAATCCCAATCACAATGACAGTACCGAGGAGGTTGAGGCCGATGCTTCTGATCATGGACATGATCATAATGCAGCTGAGTCAATCACAGAAGAGCTTCGGGAGGAAACTTCGAAAGAACTTGATGAAGACAATCAGTCCGAGGCCGAGGGCGCTGCGTCTCAATATCAAGACGATGAAACCGAAGAGACATTGCAGGGCAATAAGAGTGATGCTTTGCCTAAATTGGATAACACTGGCTCAGATCTGTCAGGAAACAATGTTCAACCCAGCCCCGACCTGGCCGATGACTCATTAGGCATCGCCGAGGACATCCTGAATAGTCCTATTCGAAACTCGTCGACTACGGACAATGATATCGAGGGCGCAGACCTCCCTGAGGAATTTAATGATGCGACTGAGCATATCGCCTCAAATCATACCACCCAGGAAATCGAAGAGTTGCATTTTGACGACGAAGATTATCTGGATCTGGGGATCGTAGAAGATCTCGGTGATGCTGAGGAGCTTGACACAAAATCACCTGGCCCAGCATCTACTAAACGACACCGCGAGCCGGAAGATGAGTTCGAGCTGGCCGAGAGTCCTACACCGGACGCTAAACGTTCCAGATCATCGTGATCTCCAGTTTTATAAGTTTCTTACTTTCCAGTCTAGAACTCCACTCTGGGCTATGCGGGCCGTTGTTGGTCTTGTCGAACCAGACACTACACCTTTCGGTTCATACTGATTACAGTATTGTTTCCGCCAGGGTCAACTATGACTTAACTACTAATAAAACTATCCAGCGTATCGAGTCTCACAAACACCTCACTTTTTCAGGTATGTATCACCCTCATAACTCATTGATTCCCTCTCGAGGTATGCTCTTCAACGGTATACCTTCAACCCTCTCGTTATGCGAATACGGCTCGTAAGTTTAGGTTTGTACACATTATTTCGACTTGAGACTACCTAATATCCTCCTTTCATCTCACCCCCCCTTTTGTTGCATTGCTTGTGACTTCTGGCTCAAGTGATACCACTTGATGGTTTCGGCGTTATACGGCGTGTAAGGTTTTCTCATATCAAAAAGCGCTATACCCAGATAGCAGTTCAGCACCGGTGCCGTGGGTTATTCACCTTTTGGGCCCTTGCCTCTCAAGGGGTGCACAATGATATCTTAGTTCTCATCTTGATCTACGGCGTTCTTCTGAGGATTTTGCTGTCGCTTTCTTTGTATTCAGGGGAGGGTTCAGTATTTGAGACTAAATAAGGTGGATGGATGTTTGTGTTGGTACGGCGGGGAGTCCCGGGTAGCCGTACGGAGTAAAGAGATCATGCTAATTATCGATGTTGATTGACTGCTATAGCCTATCCGTAATACTTCTCTCCGTATTTTGACCTGTTCAATCATGGAATTTGCTGCTCGATGCAAGTGTTCATCATGGAGGAGACAGCTATGCCTGTGTTAATCACAAGTCACGTGTCCCCGAATAGGGAGCCTGCCATCCGCGCAGATTGATTTTAGGTTACAGTAGTTCCAGGGAAAGTGCATAGGGTTAAAGTATCTCCGAGCCTGGACGGCCTCTAAAGTGAGGGGTTGCTGGGGATAGAATTTTGGGAGGAGGCAAATGGGTGTGCATATTGTATAATTCCTGAAATTCCGATATAGGCATACGTACATAATCCCCAGAGGGGCTGGGAGTGGTGGATACCTCGGCAGTTAAATTAGGACCTCGTGCCAGGCTATTATGATGACAGGGATTTTCAAGGTTGAACAGAAGAACTGGAAGAGGATAACGAGGCGAACAAGGGTAACGTATCATATCACATGATACCTGTAGTACCCTGTCAAGTAGTATCTGGTGTAATATACTGGTAACCAACTTCTGCGCCAGGGACTGGTAACAATAACCACTGTACGGAGTAGCGCCGGGAAACAGATTGCAGAGTGAGCCCAAATTAACTAATTAATCATTCTTAGACAACATATGAGATTCCCGAAGATGTGAAACGCCGATCAGACACACAGGGACGGTTCAACAAGGAGCACCAAGGGGCTTGCGCGTTGGGCGCTGGCTAGTGATTGGGTGGCGGGTTGTGGCCACCTATGGTCCTTCATTACAGAACCTAGGTTGGGTTATGACCCTTCCAGAGGAGATGGTTTACCCTGTCCACGGTGTGAGAGGTAGTGGACATACATACAGTACAGTACATAGATACGGACATGTATTGTCTTCAACAACACCTTCAATGGGTTTTATGATGATATACAGTGAACCCGCTTTGGTACATAATATGGGGACTCTTCTTACTCTATGGTAATCGCAACAATATCCTACTCCATCGTAGTACGCAAGGTTGGCACTCTATTATTAGTATGGTGGCGCGGGATTGGTAACTATACTAATTGGGGAGACTTGAGTACTGTATTGATTTCGATTCTTTGCACTGTTGACCTTGGGGTTGTATAGGTTTCAATGTTCCGAGAGAGCAAGGAAGGGAATCAAGGATCTCACTCTTTGACGCCTGTGATAATTTTTATTTTTATTTTTTTTTCCTTCTTTTCCAGCTCCTCTCCAAAGCAGATTGTGGGCTTTACTCATCGCCTCCAACCACTTACGCGTCCTAAAACAGTCCGGTTCCGTCTACTGGGAAGAGAAAAAATCCCCCCACCGCACGAGCGCAGGCAGCCAAGCCAACCTCAGGCCAGCCTCTAGAACCGATCAGGGAAGGCCGACAAGTAACCTTGAAGCTCTTTCAATCGCAGGAGTTCTCGACCAACACTCTTTAGAAAGTCACTAAATCCAACAAACCTCCAAATAACTTGCGGGAAACCACCTCTTTTTCTTTTCTTACGACCGAATTATTCCAGTGTTGCTGTTATTCTTCGTCTTCCTGGATAGAGACGTTCATTGTTGGTGCGCCCCGGATGCTTGGCTAGTCGACCGAGAGCCAACAACCACCCAATTCCTCTTCCCCATTTCGCTTTCGATTCTATTTCCCAAGGCGGCTGCTAGCATTGGAGTACATACAACAGGGGGAGCCTTTAGCTCCTAAGATACGTCAATATGCTCTCCGATAAGTATGCATAATCTGTTATACCCTTGATTGTTTGATTCTAGGGGCCTCATGACCATGGTGTTCTGACCGGCCTTTCCGTTGTGTACAGGTACATAGGCCTTATCTTGGCCATCCTATCAACAATGGCAATAGGTATGTATTCCTCTCGGAGATTCATGCGAAGACCCAGAATTGACCATATGCTAGGCACAAGTTTTGTTATTACCAAAAAGGTCCGTTCGCTTTCGTTCACGCTTTCAACTAGTCCCTCCTCTCCGCCCGCCTATACTCTCCTCGGTTCGAGATTTGAAACTAATCAATCGTGTGCAGGGGTTAACGCACGCCTCTGAACAACATGGGTTCGAGGGAGAAGGATTCTCATATTTAAAAAGTCCGATATGGTGGGGTGGTGTTATCACATGTACGAACACTCCTGCTGTTGCCTACCGAAAGAGAGATATACAGAAGGGATATGGAGCTGACAGCGATCGGTAGTGGCCATTGGAGAAGTCGCGAACTTCGCAGCCTACGCTTTTGCGCCTGCAATCCTTGTTACCCCTTTGGGCGCATTGAGTGTCTTGATCGGGTAAGAGTTGTCCTCCAGCCTAGTGTTGTCTGTGCGATTTGCTGACGGAAGGTGAAGTGCGGTCCTCGGTTCCTATTTTCTCGATGAGAAATTAGGCACCTTGGGTAAAATGGGCTGTGCTTTGTGTCTGCTTGGCTCCGTGGTGATTGTGCTTCACGCGCCTCCTGACAAGCCTGTCGAGACGATCGAAGAAATTCTGCACTATGCCCTCCAACCCGGTATGTACAGTCCCAATAGCACTCGGCGCACAACTAACATCGGCTTTCAACAGGGTTTCTTCTCTACTGCCTCGCTGTTGCGATTTTCTCTACTGTCATGATCTACCGAGTTGCGCCGGTTTACGGCAAAAAGAATCCCCTCATCTTTATCTCGATCTGTTCCACCGTCGGCTCCGTCTCCGTCATGTCCGTCAAGGCTTTTGGCATTGCCTTGAAGCTTACCCTTGGTGGTAACAACCAATTCACGCACGCATCAACCTACGTTTTCTTGATTGTTACGGCTTTCTGTATCCTCACCCAGATGAACTATTTCAACAAGGCGTTGAACCAATTTTCTACCTCGATGTAAGTAGGGTCGCGCCATAACGCAACCGCAGCTGACAAATTCTTTTCTAGAGTCAATCCTCTTTATTATGTGACGTTCACGACGGCCACACTGTGCGCTTCCTTCATCCTTTTCAAGGGCTTCAACACCACTGACGCTGTCAACACGATTTCGTTACTTTGCGGGTTTCTCATCATCTTCTCCGGCGTATATCTTTTGAATCTCTCCCGACATGACCCAGATGGGCGGCAGATGCTGAACTCCAAGCTAGACGATGAAGGTGTGCCAACTGATGGAATCGCAAGCTTCCAAACCCGCCGGTCTATGCAGTCCCGTCGGAGCAACGAGCCCCACCGTCGAAGCTCGTCAAGCCTTGCCTTCCTGAATGGCAATGGAGACCGTGAAGGCCTGATCCACGCTTATGATGTGGAGAATCAAGCCTATGGGCTGTCAGAGTTAGCTGAGGAAAGTGACGGAGAGCCAGGCCCCACGTATAAAAATAAAAGAAGCGACGAGGTAGAACGCACCTCTCATCAACCCAACAAGCATGACGAGCCATAGTATGACGGTCTCTCTCAGTCTCTCTTTGATCTGCTGGTTTTCATTTACGACGAGATTACTGCTGTTACGTTTTTCCTTTCTCCCTTTTGCTTTTCCCCCACTCGGTCATGTGTTGCTATTGCCACCATCCGACCCAAGAATCTTGTTTTATGGCTGCATTGTACTTTTACTTCTCTTCAAGCGCAAGAAAATATACCAGGCTGGGGAACCAGGGATGCTCATGAGTCATTTGAACTGAATTGGACCATTTTCATTTTTCCGTTTGTTTTCTTTTTCGTCTTTATTCCCCCCCTCACACTTTGCCGTTCTGGCCAACTCCTTGACTGGAGTTAGAAGAGGAACAGTTATCTGCGATAAACAGATTTGTATATACGCATCGTTGTCAATTTTGAGATAGACATTGTGC